ATGAATTCAAACAAATACTTATCTGGATTTTTTGTTGTTGTTCTTGTAGGATTCATTTTCAATCAGATATGCTCACCATAAAATCTCAAAATCCAGTATAGACTGTGGGAAAATGTAGGCGGATAGCAGAGAACTGGACAGCCCCCTGATGCAGCCTGCAGTGAGGGCTGAGGTAACAGTATTGTACGACTGTATTTTACATACTCTGTGACTGTAGAGAAATGTGATGAATTTTAGATTTTAAGAAATGGTACCCAGGAGCAGTCCATCTCCTGGAAATTCCATAGAAATGAATTTTAGCAATGATCATCAGCAACGTGCATATGATATTGCAGATTACTTATGAGAAGTCTCCCAGAAGTTGGCAGTCAGCAGGGAACAAGCTTAAACCTGYGCAAGAGATCATCCAGGGAGAGAATCCTTCGCCTTAGGGCTTAGTTTATCAGGCGGCATTATAAACTCAGTTGAGTCTTCTCGCATTTCCGTCATATTGTAGCATATGCTCGGTATGATAACTCAAGCCAGCAGTGTACTCTCTTTCACTGTACACTACTCGCTGGCTTAGTTGCACCAAAACCACATGCACCATAGTCAGACTTCAAGCAAGATTCTGTCCAATTTAATAAAATTCCTATAATTTTATAACATATAGAATATTGTGCTGTATAAATGAATGTATTTATGGTATAAACAAATGAAGAAAATGGCAGCAAAGTAGCCTTAAAAGAAAAGAGATATGGTCAGGATGAATTTTTTTCTACAGTATAGAAATACTTAAAGTACTTCAGTACTTTAATACACAGCCTCTAAAAGTGAATACTTACAGACTCTGCAGAGTGACCTCTGTGGCAATGATAARCATGGAGAAAATATTGGGATCAGAAGGCCCCACACTATTGCCCAGGATTGTGTCTTGTGAAACCCCTCTCAGGAGATGCAGTATGTCCCCCTCCGGCTGTTGGAAGAATGCRGCCTTATCCCATGAGATTTATGCACAGAGTTACTTTCTCTATTGTCCGTCATCTGTATTTACCCTGTTGGTTTGCGRGGACCTCGAATGGAGATGAATTTTATTTGCAAGAAGATAGCAACACACAGCTCCTGGTAGTCGTACTCCACAGAAAACAAAAACATCATCTAGATTCTGATTGTGGTTCTGTGAGGGCTGGCAATGCCAGAAGCACCAGTGCAGAGGTACTCCTGATCCAACTTAGAGCTTTCTTTTCTGCTGGTAGTGCTGATAGCACCTTCCTGGCCCTATCTGTTGATTACCAAAATGTTCTTAAGCTCCAGAATGGGGTAAGGAGGCTGCAGTGACCTCAGATATTGGTGAGCAGGAAGAAGAGCTTGAAGAAAAGTTTCAAGGAAGATACTAACTTTGGCTCCTCGACAGTGTCCCTTCCTTTGTGTGTAGCTCTGTGTAAAGCGACCTACGAGAATCAGCTCAGCAACCACCTGCCTTACAGCAGCAGAAACACGACAAGGCAGCTCAGGGAACACCTACTGCTGCCCAAAGCCGTTCTGTGGACTTAGCCAGGGGAATACCTGAATTCTAGATTTTGGTCAGGTTTAGGCACGAGATAAGAATGGAGCTACTTGACAGTGTCCAGAAAGAGGGACTTAAAGGGCTTGTGTCAGACTTTGGTGTCATGAAACTCACAACTCCATGAAGCACTTCAGAGTTTAGCAGCCTCTAGGACTGAATTGTGGTTGCCAAGGTCATAATTTTGCACATAGTGACAAATTTTGTATAAATCTGTTGTTAACATCTCTTCTTTCTAGACACCTCTAAACACATACATTAGATTCCAGACACAAATAGCAAAGAGATCCTCCACTAAGAATTTCCATCCCATAAAAGAAAGTCGCAGACCCATCGAGAGAAAAAGAGAGCACAAACGTCTGGTGAGACACCAGGCACCTTGATCACTTCAGCTTCTGAGGCTACGCTGGTCAGTAAAACAAGGCCAGGGCACATGGCCTGCCTGTTTTTTATACTGCCCAATTATATATATATGTGTGTGTTTGTGTGTATATATATATATATATATATATATATATATATATATATATATAAAATCTTTGTTGTGCTCTTGGCTTGTACTAATTTTTTCCCAGACAGTGTCCCAATGTAATTTGGGAAGCCTTTGTGCCAGGGACAGTTCTCACCCTGTGCTGAGTGTGGAACAGCATGTGGGTGTGTGTGGATGTAACCCCCGGCACAACGTGAGACTTCAGGAGCAGAGGATGATCCGTAGCCTGTTTTCCTCACTAGTGTAGACACAGTCAGAGAGGGATCCCCTCCATAGGCCTTCCCTTCCCAGACTTCACCTGGATTTCAGGGAGCAGAAATGCCTTCTGATCTCAAGGTGCTTCGGAGTGCTTCCCAAGTCTACACTGAGCCTACATGTGACTGGTGGACAACTACTCGTCTTCCCTATGCCTCATTCTCCTCCCACCCACGGAATGACAGTGGCCTCCTGTAGAAGAGCACTGGCCATGGGGTGATGGGCCCTGTTCCCAGTTAACTGCCATCTCCTGTCTGATCTCTGCATGGACCACTGCCAGCAGGGCCAAAGGTAGGAGCAAAACAGCGTGTTGTCAGTGAGGAAAGGTTCTTCCCTCCCTGCTCAGCCCGGCCATCAAAAGCAKCCCAAGAGGCAGGATGCTGGAACGAGGCGCTGCACAGA